GGTTCACAACAGCCTTATCGCTAGGGTCCCAACCCTAGACAACCTTCTACCCCTTTCATAGACCATGAGTCACTGGGACAGGACTCTGCACAGGCAGATGGGAAGTGGTAGCTGAACCCTCAGGTGAGGCTCTCTATCCCACTCCCTTCTGGGAGCAATGTTCACAGGCCTGGAGCACCTCTTCTGGGAGGGATGCTCCCAAGCCTGGTTCTCTGCCTGAGTGTTCCCCATGAAGCTACTGTGATTCCAAGACAGCATTGGTCCTTTCCAGCTTGGGGGACAGAGTTGCACTAGGCCAGCCTATGAAGAAAAAGGACACCTGTATATCTCTCAATTAGTCTCACCCAGTAGAGAAGATGCTGAAGGACTTCAGGCTGACCCCCTGCTGGGAAGCAAAGAAAACCATTTGTGGGGGCTGGAGACAATCCCAGCACCCTCCAGCTCCACAGGATCTGATGCCCCCTTCTGGCCTTTGCATCACCTGCACACACCCGCAGACAGACAAGCACATAATTAAAAACAAATCTTTTTTAAAAAGGAAAAGAAAAATCACTCGCCAGAATTGCCCTTCTATTATAGAAAAGAACAGCTGAATCATGACAATAATATCTCCTCTAAGAAGGCAAAAGTGGCCGTGAGAGGAAGCTTCAATTCTGACCAACAAGGACAGCCACCTTGGTGATGTAGAAATGATAGGATCCTTGGGGAAAGCCACAGCCTGGTCTGGAGGACAATGCTTGTCTCCCTTAGAGGTCAACGAGAGTAGATTTCAAAAATGAGACACCCATGAAGTCTCGCCTCACCAACATGGCTGCTTGACCTGAACCAACTAGTGAACACACTACCATGGAAGGAGAGAGTTGAGGAAGCCTCGACCCTAGGCAAGAAACTATGGGCAACTGGGGGAATACAAGAGCAAGAGAAACATCTTCCTCAGGAAAGAGGCTCCCAGTTGGTTACAACAGCAAGTGCTCAGTTCTGAGACCATGCATCCACAAGTAATGCTAAGACTGCATTTATGGGATGGGGTGGGGGATGGGTAGAGGGGACAGGAGGATGGGAGTGAGAGAGGGAACTGGGATTGGTATGTAAAATGAAAAAAGATCGTCTATTTGCTTTAAAAATTTAAAAAAGACTATGTATTTAGGACTAAATACTGTACATGTGTGTGTGGGAGTGTGTGTGCGTGCTCATGTGCAGCACATGTGTCTGTAACAGAGAAAAAGATCATGACCTGCCGGGCGGTGGTGGTCACACCTTTAATCCCAGCACTCGGGAGGCAGAGGCAGGTGGATCTCTGTGAGTTCGAGGCCAGCCTGGTCTACAAGAGCTAGTTCCAGGATAGGCTCCAGGATAACCCTGTCTTGAAAAAAATAATAAAACAAAACAAACAAAAAGAGTACATGAATTTGATTTTTTGTTTTGTTGTTTTTCGAGACAGGGTTTCTCTGTGGCTTTGGAGCCTGTCCTGGAACTAGCTCTGTAGACCAAGCTGGTCTCGAACTCCCAGAGATCTGCCTGCCTCTGCCTCCCGAGTGCTGGGATTAAAGGCGTGCGTGCGCCACCACCGCCCGGCAAGAGTACATGAATTTGAAAAGGAGCAAGGAACTACATGGGGTGGGGAGAGGGATTGGATGGACAAAAGGAAAGGGAGAAAGATGTAATTATAAATTCAACAAGTAAATTTTTTTTTTTTTGGTTTTTCGAGACAGGGTTTCTCTGTGGTTTTGGAGCCTGTCCTGGAACTAGCTCTTGTAGACCAGGCTGGTCTCGAACTCACAGAGATCCGCCTGCCTCTGCCTCCCGAGTGCTGGGATTAAAGGCGTGCACCACCACCGCCCAGCAAATTTTTTCTTTTTACATCAGGGTTTCTCTGTGTAGCCCTGGCTGTCCTGGAACTCACTCTGTAGACCAGGCTGGCCTCAAACTCACAGAGATCTGTCTGCCTCTGCCCCCTGAGTGCTGGGATTGAAGGTGTGTGCCACTACCATCCACCAAGAAAAAAATATATATATATATATTATAAATATATATATATATTTGCCATTTATCACACAAGCTAAAGAAAATATATTTTTAAATGACCAGAAGAAAGCTGGTGATGGATCCGTGACACAAGACCCTCACCCTGAAAAGTGACATTGCTAGAGCAATGGGTATGTCAGTGCTGAGCATCCTGTAGAAGTGTTTTCCACAAGTCTGAAGCCAAGGCTTAGAGCATGGATCAGACCCACTTCTGTCTCCAGTCTTCCTGTTCCTTCCTGTGAAGCTTCTACATTCTAAGAGGTGGTGGTAGTGCCGGAACTCCACATATACCAAGAATACATGTGAACATTCTCATGCAAGATGATATTAGGAAGGGTAGCTGCAGAATGAGCCGCATGGTACACACCCACCTGCTAGGAACAACAGATCTGAGGTTAACAGGGCACAGGCATTCCTTTTTGTTCAGGGCTCACTGGCTGGGCAACAGTAGCCAAGGGGTAGCAGAACTAGTAGTTGAGTCTCTAGAGAAAAGGACGTTCACCACAGCAGCTGTGTAGGCGGAGTTTTCCATCAGAACCATCAATCAGCTCTGTCCCACTAGGACTCCCAAATAACCACACAGGGACTTAATATTAGTTATAAATGCTCGGCTGATAGCTTAGGCTTATTTTAAGCTAGCTCTTAAAAAATATTTACTTATTTATTATGCATACAGTACTCTGACCAGAAGAGGGCGCCAGATCTCATTACAGATGGTGTGAGAGCCACCATGTAGTTCCTGGGAAGTGAACTCAGGACCACAGGAAGAGCAGCCAGTGCTCTTAACCACTGAGCCACCTCTCTAGCCTTTAAGCTAGCTCTTATGAGTTAAATTAACCCATTTATCTTCATCTGTTTGCTGCCCCGAGGCTCATTTACCTCATCTACACCCTTCCCATACTGCTTGCTCTGCCTCTCATAGCATCCCCCCGACTCCTGAGACTCCACCCTTCTTTTCCCCCAGCATTCTCTCTGCCTAGCCATTGACCAGCCAATCAATTCTTTATTAACAATGAGAGTGACACACCTTCACAGTGCACAGAAGGGTTATTCCACAGCACAGCGGGCCGTCTGCACTTGGAAATATTCTTCCCTGTTTCTGAGGCATTGATTTTTCTTAGTTCTTATCCACCCCATTGGCCACGTGGCCTTTTCTGGTCCCTTTACTGGTTCAACTCCACAGTCTCTGAATATTTGAGCACCCAAAGCTTAGTCCTTAGGCCCAACCTGCTCTCTGGTCTCTCTGGGTGGCACCATTCCCTGGCCTAGCATCGAACACCATGTCCTAAAGATTAGGGCAAGTCGTAGGCGAGCCCTGCAAGAGCCTGTGCTCCAGGAATGGAGATGCTGCCTTGTACACAGCTCCTACAGGGAAAGTCGACAACCAGAGGTCCAGACACAGAGTCCATGCTTCAAATGCTTGTCCTGTGTCAGCAAGCATGTTCAAGAAGTCATCAAGTGTGAAAGTTCATTTTCAGGGTGACTTTTTTATTTTATTTATTTGGGGGGAGGGTCTGAGACAGGGTTTCTCCATGTAACAGCTCTGGCTGTCCTGAAACCAGGCTGGCCTCGAACTCAGAGATTGCTTGCCTCTGCCTCCCGAAGGCTGGGATTACCCTCACCACCCGGCCTTCAGGGTGACTTTTTTTTTTTTTTGGTTTATTTGAGACAGGGTTTCTCTGTGGCTTTGGAGCCTGTCCTGGAACTAGCTCTGTAGACCAGGCTGGTCTCGAACTCACAGAGATCCACCTGCCTCTGCCTCCCGACTTTTATTTTATTTTTATTTTTTGGTTTTTCGAGACAGGGTTTCTTTGTGGTTTTGGAGCCTGTCCTGGAACTAGCTCTTGTAGACCAGGCTGGTCTCGAACTCACAGAGATCCGCCTGCCTCTGCCTCCCGAGTGCTGGGATTAAAGGCGTGCGCCACCACCGCCCGGCCGCCTCCCGACTTTTAAAATAGATTTTTTTTATTTGTGATTATGTGGGGTTTGGGGGGTAGGGAAATGTGAACATGAATTCAGTACTCTCAAAGACTGGGAGAGAGCCATGGGACCCGATGTTGTTGATGTTTCAGATACTTGTGAGCTGTCCCAAGTGGGAACAGAACTGCTGAGCTGCCTCCCCAGCCTCCCGCCACCTTTTACGATGGTAGCTCGACCTCCTTCATGCAAAGCACACCACCGAGCAATATCCACAAACCAAGAGACCGTTTTTTCTGCACTGGAGGAAGTTTGAAATATTTTACTTTGGACACCTTTGTGTGCATGTTGTTGAGATAGGGTAGCTTTAAACTGGGGAATCCTCCTGTCTTGGTCTCATGAAAGCTGGGACTGGAGGTGTGCATCAAGCACATCCAGTTGGTCTCCCAATTCTAATAGTCCAGACGTCTGTGGTGGATGAACGAGGCCTGAGACTCCCAGTCAAACATATCCTTTTTTTTCTCCCAGCGCACCGTTCCTCCAACAGGTCATCCTGAAAGCCTGTGTGCTTGCAAACCTGCCTCTTACAACATGAATTGTAAGTCCAGAGAGTCTCCTCCAGAGGCCACGAAACTGAGACAGTTGACCCAAAGTTTCCGTGCAGATCCAGAAGGGCCACTAGATGGCGATCTGGAGCTGACCTCAAGATCAGCCTCCGTCCACCTTCCTTAACTTCTCAGCACCGAGGTCCCTGTCCCGGAGGGACCGAGGGTCGGGGCTGGCCCGTTTCCCCAGGGGTTCCCCAGTTTCAGAGACAGCCAAGAACTAGGCGCAGCAAGAGCCGAGGGGCCCCGTGGGCCAGGTCTGGGGCAAGCCTGCGAGGGTGCAGAGATCCGAGCCCCGCACTGCGCTGGCTTCGCTGTTCCGCCTCTCCGGTCCGCAGCAGAACCGGCGCTGGGTGACACCCGGCAACAAGCCCCCGGCGAGCCTTCCCCGTAAGGGGCGCGCCTGCGTCGCTCCGGATTGGCTACAAAAGTCCCAGAGTTAAACTTTCAGCCAATAAAAAAAGGGCATGAGGAGTGACGCACGGGAACGTCACGGGAATTCCCCCCCTCGGGGGGCCGAAAGGGGCTTTCCCGGCTGGAGCCCAGCGCTGTAGAGCAGCGGCTACCGGTCCGGGGCAGGGCTCGGAAAGAAGTCGGAACCAGAGCCGCCACCACGGTGAGTGGCCGGGTTCACCTGAGTGACCGAGGAATGGAGAGGGAGGGAGGGACGGAGGGAGGGAGGAGGACTTTAGGACACAGTCTGGGGCTGGACACCACCTCTGGAGAGCGCGCACTCGAACAGGACACCCTGGCACACATCGCCACGTACGCCTGCCCTCACGCTGGCCTGCGCAAGCCGGGCTGGGTGTCAGCCCCGCACACACGCGCGCGGGCAGAAGTTCACTGGGCACCGACATCCAGACGTGCACCGCCGTCTGCCCACACTGACCAGGACTCACCTGTGCGGACGGATGAGCAATTGCACGTGCCTGCTGCCACCGCCCGCACTCACCACGCACACCAGACATTAGGGCTGAAACGCCAAGTCCCGGTAACGGACACCCGCGTGTTACAAATGGTTGTGGGGCTGGGGTCTCAGGGGCCGGTGGCCCGGAGCAGGTGCAGCGGGAGAATCTGGGATGCCAAGATGTCCCGGAGTCGCTAGAGACCGTGGAGGGGGAAACTCCTTTCCCCACCCTGCGGCTCGTATCGCTTCTCTGGGCAGAACCCCGGGGGCCCCACTGGAAGAGCCCCCGCCTACGGGCCATTCGGAAAAGAGGCCTCCGACGGCAGGAATGTCCCCACAAAAGCCCCCGGGTGAATCAGCCGTGTCCTCCACGCTGGCCGAAAATCCCAAGGTTGCTCCAGGCCGCGGAGTGGGGGCGAGGCGGACTAGGCCCCGGCTAAGCCCCGGGGGCTGCAGCCGCTAGCTGCGGGGGAACCAGGAACTGCCAGGGCCTCCCGCCCCTCCCGCCGCGGGGGCGGGGCCCCGGCGTCATTTCCAGGCCCGCCCCCTCCGGCTCCTCCTCCCCCTGGTATTTTCGGGACTTTCCTAAGCAGCACTAACTTTCTGCCCCTTCCCCGGCCCGGCCCCGCTCGGGATCTCGACCTCCAACCGGATTTTATCCGCCACGCCCGGCCGGCCGGCCGGAGGAGATCAGACCCTCCCCCAAATCTGGGACCCCTCTCCTGCCCACTCCTATCCTGACCTCTCCTCCCTACCCCCTCCCGTGTCTCTCTTCACTTTAGGCGGGCGTCTGAAACTCTGGGAAGCCGAACAAGGGCCCGAAGCCGCCAGCCACAGTCGGGCCTAGCCCAGAGACATGGACAGTTGCTACGGCCCAGTGAGTCACACTGCCTGGCCCTGAAGCCAACTTGTGCCCCTGTGTCTGCTTGTCTACCAAAGGCTTCCCCCCCCCCCCCACACACACACACACTCCTCCGCTTCTGCATGTCTTCAGATTGTCTCAGTCTGTCTGTCTGTCCTGTCTGCAAACTTTGTCCAGAAAGGAGCTTCCTCATGGCTTGAGGAGGAGCCAGGAGGAGGAAGGCTCGGTTTCAGCCTCCACCTTCTCTGTCTGGAACAGGGTGTGGATGGCATCCCTGACTATGATGATTTTGAATTCAGCCCCTCCATTGTGGAGCCCAAGGATCCAGCCCCAGAGACAGGTCAGTGAGCCCTTAGCTTCAGGTGTCCCAGAACCTGGAGGAGAGTGAGCGTATACCCTCTGCCAGGGGGTGGACTTGGGGAGCCTGGCTAAGTGAGGCCCCTCTCCTTCCAGCTGATGGCCCCTATCTGGTGATTGTGGAGCAACCCAAGCAGGTGAGTGAGCCAGGGGTGTGCGATGGCTTGGGCTTTGGGGACAAGTGGGGTAGCTGGCGCGATTGGATGGTTGGTTGCTGCTGGTCTGTTGGGCAGGAGGTGTCCAGGAGACACACTATTGGTCACGTGGTCAGTGATGGCCAGTGGTTGCCTTGTGTGTGTGTGGGGAGGGGGTGTCTCCTGACCTCATTGTCTCTGTCATGGAACCATCAGCGAGGCTTCAGATTTCGATATGGATGTGAAGGCCCCTCCCACGGAGGCCTCCCGGGTGCCTCCAGTGAAAAGGGCCGCAAGACCTATCCTACTGTCAAGGTGAGCTCAGATGATAATGGGGGGTAGGCTAGGGGACGGTGTGTCCAGGGCCACGACTGACAGTCCTTTGTCCTTCTCAGATCTGTAACTATGAGGGACCGGCCAAGATCGAAGTGGACCTGGTAACACACAGTGACCCACCTCGTGCGCACGCCCACAGCCTGGTGGGCAAGCAGTGCTCAGAGCTGGGGGTCTGTGCTGTGTCTGTAGGACCCAAGGACATGACTGCTCAGTAGGTGGTCCCCGTTCCTGGCCCCCTGGGGATGCTCCTTGCCTGCCAGTCCTAGGTCCCAGCCTGCCTGTGTGGCTGTCATACAAAGGGGAGAGAACCCCGGAGGACAAAGCCAAGCTGAACCTGGCAGTGGGGATGCTGCCTCGGGAAAGAGCTCCAAGGACAAAGCCCTGACTCCTCCTTCTCCTCCCCAGATTTAATAATCTGGGGGTCCTGCATGTGACCAAGAAGAACATGATGGAGATCATGATCCAGAAACTTCAAAGGCAGAGGCTTCGCTCCAAGCCCCAGGGCCTTACAGGTACGGCGACACAGGGCTGTCAGGGAGCTGCTTCCAGAGGAGCGGGGCAAGCCCAGGGCTCACACCCAGGCTGTCCACGCAGAGGCTGAGCGGCGGGAGCTAGAGCAGGAGGCCAAGGAACTGAAAAAAGTGATGGATCTGAGTATTGTCCGGCTGCGCTTCTCTGCTTTCCTTCGCGCTAGCGATGGCTCCTTCACTTTGCCCCTGAAGCCCGTTATCTCCCAGCCCATCCATGACAGCAGTGAGTATCCTCGAAGGTGCCCAGTGGGAGCGCCCAGAGGAGCGCCTAGGATACCTCCAGTCTATGAAGTTTGAGCCTGGCCCTGCCACGTGTGAGATGAGCTGTCTGAAGCAAGTCTGAGTGTTGGTGAATGAGAATATTGCGTTTCCTGAAGTGTCAAATGACCACCGAGACCCCAGATCCATCAGTGTGGCCCTAACCCATCTCCCATCCTACAGAGTCTCCAGGGGCCTCAAACCTGAAGATTTCCCGGATGGACAAAACAGCCGGTTCTGTGCGCGGTGGTGACGAAGTTTATTTGCTTTGTGATAAGGTGCAGAAAGGTGAGGCCGGAGACCTTGCTGGGAACTGAAAATGGGTGTTAGAAGACTGAGGGGTGGGGCGGCGGGGGCGGGGCAACTCCAGGATAAATGCACCGGCCTGCAGGTTCTCCGTAAGGCTCAGCTTCACTTTCCTCTATAGATGACATTGAGGTTCGGTTCTACGAGGATGACGAGAACGGATGGCAAGCCTTTGGGGACTTCTCTCCCACAGACGTTCATAAACAGGTACTGAAGGACTAGGGCCTGACCTGGAGGTCGAACTGGGCAAAGATCTCATTGACAGCTAAGCTCTCTCTCCCACCCTTCACCCCAGTATGCCATCGTGTTCCGAACACCGCCCTATCACAAGATGAAGATAGAGAGGCCTGTAACGGTGTTCCTGCAGCTAAAACGCAAACGTGGCGGGGACGTCTCCGACTCCAAACAGTTCACCTATTACCCTCTGGTGGAAGGTAGGGCCGGCCTTCAGGATTCCCAGGGGCTGCGGGGAGCAAGGTTGGCCTCCAGGCGCCCTAGAGGTGGCTGCTGTTTGGGGCACTTGAAGGCTACCCATGTATTGGATTTAACACCCCGTTTCTTGTTTCCCCTAGACAAGGAGGAAGTGCAGCGGAAGCGGAGGAAGGCCTTGCCCACCTTCTCCCAGCCCTTCGGGGGCGGATCTCACATGGGTGGGGGCTCTGGGGGCTCCGCTGGGGGTTATGGAGGCGCTGGAGGTGAGCGGGTGCCAGTGGCCCGGAGAGGGGTGGAGGAGATAAGGGGAAGTTGGAAGAGAAATCTGGGAAAGTCCTGGCTGGCACCTCACAGCTTTGCCCATGCCCACAGGTGGTAGCCTCGGCTTTTTCCCCTCTTTGGCCTACAACCCCTACCAGTCCGGCGCGGCCCCAATGGGCGGCTACTTGGGTGGAGGGGGCGGAGCACAGATGGCCGGCTCTGGGCGGGGCGTGGATGCTGGGGAGGTGGCGGAAGAGCCGAAGGCGCCCCCTGAGGTCCCCCGGGGCGAATCGCAGGCCCTGGAGGCGCTGCAGCAAGGTACGTCTTAGGAATACTGGTGGGGGGGGGGGGGGCGCAGGGCTGGGGACCTGGCCCGCACCCACGCGCCCTGTCGTCTCCAGCTCGCGAGTACAACGCGCGCCTGTTCGGTCTGGCGCTGCGCAGCGCCCGAGCGTTGCTGGACTACGGCGTCACCGCGGACGCGCGCGCTCTGCTGGCCGGACAGCGCCACCTGCTGACGGCCCAGGACGAGAACGGAGACACGTAAGCGGCCGGAGGGCCAGTGGCCTAGGGACATCCAGAGGGGTCTGTCTTCTAGTACCAAGTCTAGAGGTTGGGCAGTAGAGGAAACTGCAAAGAGCCAAACCCTAGAGTCGGACAGATCTGGCCTCAAGTCCTCGCTGTTTTCTAGTGTTCATGAAATTTACTCTTCCCAGCCTTGAATTTTGTTAGCTGTGAAAGGGGCACAGTAGCAGGGTGACAAAGGATTAAGATGGTGACGTTCAGGGCTCACCAGGCCCCAGTGACAGAGACCACGGAGATGTGGATTTTGAGAACAGATGATGCTCTGGGTGGCTGGGTTTCCCAGACCAAAGTCTCACTCTCCCATCCCCAGGCCGCTGCACCTGGCCATTATCCACGGGCAGACTGGTGTCATTGAGCAGATAGCCCATGTCATCTACCATGCCCAGTACCTTGGGGTCATCAACCTCACTAACCACCTGCACCAGGTAAGGGGGAAGCCTCTAGTGAGGGGCGAGGGGTTGAAGGCAGGGAGCCCTACGCTGGAGTGAGCTCGGCTCACTCTGCCTTCCTCTCCAGACACCTCTACACCTAGCAGTAATCACTGGGCAGACAAGGGTGGTGAGCTTCCTGCTGCAGGTGGGTGCAGACCCCACACTGCTGGACCGGCATGGAGACTCAGCTGTGCACCTGGCTCTCCGGGCAGGTGCTGAAGCCCCAGACCTGTTGCGGGCACTGTTACATAGTGGGACCCGCGCTGTGCCCCAAATATTGCACATGCCTGATTTCGCGGGTTAGTTTCCCATCTCCTCCAGTCCTGGGGACAAGGGTGGGGACCAAGAAGGGTGTGTGACTAGTAGACATGAGTAGGGGCCACTTTGGGGGTCACAGCTGCTGAGTGTGCTGTTCTCTAGGACTGTATCCAGTACACCTGGCAGTTCACGCCCGGAGCCCCGAGTGCCTGGACCTGCTAGTTGACAGTGGAGCCGAAGTGGAGACAGCAGAGAGGCAAGGAGGCAGAACACCCCTGCATCTAGCCACAGAGATGGAGGAGCTGGGATTGGTCACCCATCTGGTTACCAAGGTGGGAATGAAGACTGTGGAAGGGAGGGGAGGATTGTGGGAGGACCAGGAGTGGTGAAGAGGTCTGTGGGAAGGCTTGGCTACCTGGGCCATGCTGGTCACTCCTTGCCACCCCACAGCTCCATGCCAATGTGAACGCCCGGACATTTGCTGGAAACACACCCCTCCACCTGGCAGCTGGACTCGGATCCCCAACCCTCACTCGCCTTCTCCTAAAGGCTGGTGAGTGAGAACAGAGCTGGAAAGAGAGAGGGGACCCTCCCAGCCATTGTTCGGTCCTCAGTGTGGGGCCTTCCACTGGTCTCTTCTGATGACCGGCTCCTCCTCCAGGTGCTGACATCCATGCAGAGAATGAGGAGCCTCTGTACCCTCCGTCCTCACCCCCTACCTCTGGGAGTGACTCTGATTCTGAGGAGCCAGAGAGGGACACCCAAAGGAACTTCCGGGGTCACACACCTCTTGACCTCACTTGCAGCATCAAGGTGAGGTCATCCTGGCAATAGAAATGCCAGGGACTCTGGGCACCTCCTGGGCCTGGGGATGTGGACCAGATCATAGACTTAGGGAGAGCTGGCTTAAGGTCTGGGATGACAGGCGACACTGTCCCCCCCCCCCCCAGGTGAAGACTCTGCTGCTAAATGCTGCTCAGAACACCACGGAGCCGCCCCTGGCCCCACCCAGCCCTGCAGGTGAGACTGGTGGGCATTTCCAGTCTCAGGCGCCTCCTCCCAGAGGTGATCTCCCTCAGGACGTTGGCGAGGGCTCTCGCTATCCATGCCCCGTCCATGTCTGCCCTGTCTGTCAGGTTACCAGGGACAAAAGCTATGTCCAAGTACGTGTTCCTGCCCTCCTCTGGAGCTACCTCACAGATGTGCATTTGTCTCCGCAGGGCCAGGGCTGTCACTGGGAGATGCAACCCTGCAGAACCTGGAGCAGCTGCTAGACGGGCCGGAAGCCCAGGGCAGCTGGGCAGAACTGGCAGAGCGACTGGGGCTGCGAAGTCTGGTGGATACATACAGGAGGACCCCCTCGCCCAGTGGCAGCCTCCTGCGTAGTTACAAGGTGGGGTGGCCCGTACCTGCCCAGCTTACCCATCTCAGAGTCTCCTCTCCCCCCCACCCCCTGGGACTTTCTACCCCACACCCTGGATATCACTCAGACCTCCTGTCTCCTCCTCCTCTTCAGCTGGCTGGCGGGGACTTGGTGGGTCTGCTGGAGGCCTTGAAGGACATGGGTCTGCACGAGGGAGTGAGACTGCTGAGCGGTCCTGAGACCCGAGACAAACTGCCCAGCACAGGTGAAGTAGGACCAGCTTGGAGCGTGCGTCTAGGCTGAGGGTGGGAGGCCCGAGGTTTGACTCCCTCCTGTTCCCCCAGCAGAGGCAAAAGAAGACAGTGCCTATGGGAGCCAGTCGGTGGAGCAGGAGGCAGAGAAGCTGTGTCCACCCCCAGAGCCGCCAGGAGGCCTCTGCCACGGGCACCCCCAGCCCCAGGTGCACTGACTGCTGCCTGGCTAACTTCCTCCACCTGCACCCTCTGTACAGCATCCCTGCCTAGTCGAGATCTTATTTAACACCTCAAGCCCACAGCTCAGTGGGCCGAATAAAGGATTCCTATGGGAACGGGGAGGCCCTTTCCCAACTTGGCAACCCCAGAGTGACGCCCATCCCTGTCCCTGAGTGAGAGGAGAGGAGTCCCAGCCAGCAATTCAGAGCAGTTTTAATGAGGGTGGAGGCTATACAAAGGGCAGGGCCCACCAAAGGAAGGAAGCAGGCCATGCCACCCCGGCCTGTGGATGCCCTTCCTCTGTCTCTGTGGAGAGAGAGGCGAGCCCTTGGGGGGGAAGAGGGGGACCAGCTCAGCCCCAACTCCTGGCCTCTGTCTGAGCCAGGCCTCAGGACGAAGGGGTTACTGCTGGTGTCAGGGTGGGGCGGTCTCAGCAGAAAGCAGAAACTTTTATCAGGCCTCCTCCACAAAAATAAAAGAAAACCCCCAATCAAAAATTAGGGGCACGGGCCCCTCCCACCCTACCCACCCTTCCTGTACGAAAAAGTGCAAACATTATCACAAAAAGGGGGTCTCTGAGAGGCCCTTTGCCCAGGCTCTGAGGCCCGGCTCAGCCCTGCCCTGCCCCGGACACCGCGTCCGGCGCGGTCGGGCCCTGGACCAGGAGGCCCTCGTGGGTGGCCCGAGGCTAGCTGAGCTCCGGCAGGGCCATGTCATCATGCAGGTGCCCAGTAGGCACTGCCCCCATTGCTCCTGTTCCTGTTCAGGGCTTTGGCCTTGTACTGCCTGCCCCAGCCCGGGCTTCTGAGCCAGGACGCTGAGCCCGGGTCTGGCTGGTGGGGTTGGGCTGCAGGGAAGGACTGGAGTGAGGTGGAGGGCATCCATCCTCCGTGCTCCCAGCCTGGGTCAGCGCTGCTTCTATGGCATCCAGCTCCTCGCTGGCTGCCTTCATCTTGACTCGAAGCAGCGCTGCATAGGTGCTGTAGCGGGATTTCTGAGGCAGAGGCCAGAAGCAGTGAAAGCCTGGCCTCCTCTTCTGCCCCACCCCCCACCCCCTGCCAAGAGATGCTGGCTCTAAAAGATGTCTGTGAGAGGTTGATGGCCCTCCCGGGCTCTTAGAACCTCTAATGACATTACAGGGCTGAAGGCACAGAATACATGTCACTTAACCCTAGTGGGTGTGGAATTTAGACTTGCTCCCCACAAGAGAAAATGAAGACTCAGAGATTAAGCAGTCTGCCAGTCACCTATCTGGGCTCCGTGCCTGGATGCCATGCCCATATCCCTAGCCTTGTCCCATATGAGGGCGCCAAGACATCAGGCGGGGAGGCTCACCTCAAACTCCAGGTAGGCCTCCTTCTGCCGCTGCTCATCGGCCTCCTTGCCTCGGGCCTTCTTCCCCGGATGTGCGGCCCGGTGCTCACGCAGTTCGCTTGCCATGGCCTTCATCTTGGCCTCATGGGTCCTCACCTGTTCCTCCTAACAGCAGGGATGTCTGGTCAGGGTCACTGGTCTACAGACCCTCTGTGCAGATTGTAACAAGGGGCTCGATTTCCATCACCGCCACACCCCTCCTGTGACCCACCACATGCAGCCTGGAATACAACCCAGTGCCCTGACCCTTCCCACCCCACTGCCAACAGGTGGACACCTGAGACAGGCGGGTGGCAGCACTGGGCAGCAGAGGACGGCTGAATTTCTTCTGGGAACTAACAGCGGCGGGGAAGGGGGGTGCAGAGAACATGGCAGCCACCACGTTGATGCGAGTGATCCAGGACTGCATTTGTTCCAGGCTCCTAGGGAAATAGCGTAGGGACCCCAGGTTGGGAATGCCAGTCCCAACCTGGGATGTGGTCTTCTTGATTAATTTATTTATTCACTGAGATAGTCTCAAGTATCCCAGGCTAGGTCCCAACTGACAGTTGTCAAGAGTGACCTTGAACTTCTGAGCTTTTTGCCACCTAAGTGCTGGGATTATAGGTGAGCGTCACTAAGTCTGGCAGGTACAGGACTGGGGACAGCACCCAGAGCCTTCTGCTACGCATTCACTCTACCAACTGAGCTATGTTCCCAGCCTGTGGAGTGTGGTCTTACAGGGAGAGAGAGGAATCCAGTGAGCAGGGCTTGGAATGGGTAAGAGGAGGACACTCACGGGGCCTGGAAGAGGAAGACCCGCCAGTCAGCTGTGCGCAGGTAGAAGACGTGCGGCCTCTTGCTGTAATCGCTGGCTCGGGTGGCTAGGGCATGGTGGATGCTGATGGCATTCTTCAGCTCTGCCTCAGAAAGAGCCTTCCCAGGCTGGTACTCCTCCTACGGGGGTACCCATCTTGTCCTGCCCCAGTCCTGGCCTGGCCATCTCCAGCCACCTACTCCCCTCTGCCAAGCCAGCCCCGCCACCCCAGCCCCGCACCTTCTGCAGGTAGAGGATCATGCCCTTGAGGATCCCGTGGAAGCTCTTCCAGCCCCGCTTGCCACGAGGTGCTAGGGAGGGAAGGCAGGTCAGGGTGGCCTGAGGAAGGCCACCTCCCATCCACCACCACCCCAGCCCCCTGCACAGCCACATACTCTTCCTGCAGTCAGGGTCTGCATGCACCTTGCGGACCAGGGCCCCGTGCTTGTAGACAGCAGCCCCAGGCTCAGGAGTCAGGTCCAGGAAAGGGCTGGAGCTGCTGCCACTGCCCCCGCTGACCCTCTTGATGACCTTGGGGTTAGGGTCGGCCAACTCTGACAGGGATCTTCTCAGCTCCTCCTCGTCTCTGCAGGTGTGATTGTTTCAGAGTACTGGTCACTCAGCCACACACACCTTCACCCTGCGCTGCTGCCCCGGCATGCTCCTCTGAGTAGGGCTTCCCCAGGCTGCAGGTCTGTGTCCTCCCTCAGAAGTCCTCCTCGGGGAAGGACCTTCCCATGGTCTGTTTCGGCACACACCCAGTCCTCACACTTCTCGGGGACAGACACGAGTGACACAGCTCTGCCCTAACCACACCGAACACCAGGCTGCTCACGGCTGTTGGTTTCATGCTGCCAAAAGGAAGAGATGCCCCGGGTCTGGTGGCTCATGCCTGTAATTCCACCACCGGAGAGCCTGAGGCAGGACTGTCAAAAATCCAAGCCAGCCAGAGAAACTGTGAGACTGTCTCAGAATCCAAAGGGCAAAGGGGCCTCTTAGCGTCCCCTCAACAGCTCTGTCGTAAAGCCGGTCAGAAAAGTCGAACCCTCCTGCTGCTGTGCTCAAGAATTTCGACTAGCCCCACTGCATCCTCCGTGGAACCCACACTGGTTTTCCTTCCAGGCTCTTTTCCAGACACCCCAGCCAGGCAGGGGCCTTGTTTCCCTGCTTCCGTGCCAACTTCAGCCTCAAGTCTCCTGAATACCAACTTCCCCCGTTATCTCCTACAGTGTACTGCTGACTTCAAGGCTTGCCTCCTCAAAAGCCTTCCTTGATCCCCTCCTCCCCCAACGCACACTGATCCAGAGTCCTGTTCTCAGAGGGATTTCCTCACAACCAGAAACTCCTATTTAAGCTGAGACGTGACTGGACCCTGCAGATAGCAGCAAGTCGGGTTTCCACAGATGTTTAGGCAAGGGCTCTCTCTCAGCCTGGGGCCCCAAAGACTTAACTGGATCTTCTCCTTCAGATAGAACACTTCCAAGACAAAGGGGAAAACTTTATTCCTAGTTCTATGGCACTCCAAGGCAATGCTAGTGCTCCCAGAGCTGCTCTGCTTTCTCCTTGGGCTGCCAGGGCCTCCGTCCACATTTCAGCACACACTCCCACTATGTCAACCCAGCTTGTCATAACAACAGAGCCAGACACAAGACAGACCCCAAGTCTAGGCAGGCATTTCCAAAGAAGGAAACGAGGTAGCCTTTCTGCTTCTTAGGGCCTCCCATCCCCAGTTCTCTGGTGTTCCCAGGCTCTCCCTTCCTTGTGCCCCAACTCTTAACCCTAACCCTTACCAAAGGGCCCCAGTACTCACATGGCCCACTGCAATTTCTCATTCTTGATGGAGCTGTACAAGGCCTGGAGAGAAACACATCGAGGGGTGTGGATTAGTCCTGTGGGGAGGTGCATCATGGACCTCAGCGCTCAGAGCCTTCCCTCCTAACTTGGGAGAGGAAAGGGAACTAAGAGGAGGGACATAGCAACCACAACCCGGTTCTGGAACATAGCACGGAGACCCAGGCCCATCTCCATCCTTGGAGCTGCCTAACTTGGGCAGGTTTCCACAGGGTGAACAGCCACATGTGGAGGCAACTGGCTAGTCAGCACAGGAAACCCTAGCCACAGCTGGTGCATAGCAACTGCCAGTTGCTATTATTATCTATGATTAAGTGGCTCTCCTGCTCAGAGCCCGGTAAGAGAAGCACAGCCCTAAATGGAATCCGAGACCAGCCAAAGAAATCCTCCTGCCCCCAACCATGTGTTCTGGTCTGGTTCCACAGCATAAACCCATCCAGGGCACACGGGGAAACAGGCTCCATGATAGAGTATTCACCCTGTTTGGTTCCCAACTGCAGAGCAAGCGAGCGTCCCCCCAGCTCCAACAGCACCATCAAGGCAGACACCAAGGGGCTCAGTGCTCTACCCGCAGCCATGCCAGACTGCTGTGGTGCCAACCAAATGCTAAGTCAGGAGTCTCAGCTTCCAGTCACTCTCTACCTCCAACTGTGGGTTCTGAGCCAGTCTCTTCCCCTCTGGAGAGGTGGCCTGGGAACATCTGAGGGCCGTGCAGTGCCCGAAGAGAGAATAATGGCCTTCAGAAGTCGTATACAAGACCCCTGTACTTGGGGACGGTTCAGAATACACCAGCGATTCCAACTGTGGGGGCGCTTCTGCCAGCCTGTCTGTGAGTGGGTGTGTCCCCAGCATGTGCGTGTTTTGCTGTGGGGCTGTGATGCTGCCTGAGCGTGAGTTGGGTGCTGTGGTGACGTCGGTACCTTCCTGATGCTGGGACACAGCACCCCCTCATTCTCCCAACACACTACAGGCTCCGACTCTCTCGCTGCCCACAGCCATGCCCAGCCACAGGCTATGCAGGCACTCCATGCCTGCGCATCCTGTCTGCAGGTAGGTGCACCCCAAAGCCTCCACCTCACACGACAAACCAGGCTAATCAACGCACAGCTCTCAACACACCTGGGCCAAACCCAGTAGGGCTCAGACCTTGAACCCTCTCACACCTCAACTATCCAGCCAGGAGGCTGGAGTAACCACCAAGACCCAACCCACAACCTTGTTTCCAGCCTTCCAGTTCTTCATCCTGCCCTCCTCAGGACTACACAGGCCCACAACCACACCTTCCTCTGAAGGTCCTGAACCCCGTCACAGAGTCCTATGTAGA